AGTATGTTCAGTATATGTAATTTTTGATTTATATTAATTTTTATGCTGGTGTGCGTTTGCTATATTGATGTGAGTATTTCGTTACACAGCTAACTTGGTAATTGGATAAAGAAGAATGAGCTGTGTCGCTGAATTTGCGTATAGTATGTAAGCGGATTTAGGTTATATTATATTGATAAGGACCCAAAAATAGGAGTCGAAACGTATATTTAATTAATTTTTGATATGACTAGTTTAATTACACGAAAATAAATTGTACATCCGATTAACTGATGTTTGGCTTTGATGGGCTTGCTTATTATTATTATTATTAAAAAGAAATATATATAATGGTGTATACTTGTTGGGTGTGCAAGGAAATGCACACTGCGTTCGGAAATACACACTAGTGTGCCACTAATGTACAGCCGTTCGGGAAACTCGGTATGTACTCGGTATGCATTCGGATGAGATCGTTTGGAAATGTAAAAAGAGTCACATCGAGTGCCACTAATCCACCCGTCAAAAAGCAAGAGGAGTCGGTGTGAGCTGGTGTGTTGTTGTTTGGTTACTTTCGTTATACTTGGGTACTTTTTGGTATTGTTAATCTAGTCGATAGCAACGAATAATGGATGCGTTCAACCGTTTTATGATTTGTCGCGCTGATTGGATTATACTTTTAGATTTAAAGGAATAGTCCTATCTTACCGGAGAATCACAAAACGGTTGCAAAACTGTTGAGTCTGCTGAACGCAGCTAATGCATACTTTGATAGAAGGTCGGCATCAAGCCGTAATGAACAGAGACGTCCCTATGTTTAATTCCGATGGAAATTTACTTGTACAAGATGTGCAAAGTGAATTATTTGCCATATTATTATATCATTAGATACGTTATGTTATTACATTATATTATAAATAATAATAATAAGAAAGCCTTGATAAGCCGACGCTGGATGTTGTTGCGATTCAATTTATTTCATATAATATAAATCGAAATTATACGTTTTGACCTACGGATAGGGTCCTCTTCAGTACATTAAGTTACAATAATACAAAAACATCGGTAAAAAATTTTGAGAAACATCTTCTCACAAATATGAACCTTTTTAACTTAACATATATATAACTTATAATTCTCTTTGTTCGTAATTACCGATATTCGTTTTTTTGTATTATTGTAATTTAATGTATTTACTGAAAAGGACCCTATCCGTGGATCGAAATATATGATGTTCATTTGTATTATATGAAATACGAGGGTCGTCTGAAAAGTTTTGAGCCTCATCATGAAGATGGCGTTACTCGTCGAAGCCATTCTGGTATTATAATCGTGATACTTAGGGCCTAAGCACAATAGAGGAACAGGAATTAGATATTAAGATTTCAACCTAACAAAAGCTGATTACATCGGAATACACGGTTTCTGATAGGATGAAATATTAATATCTAATTCTTGTTCCTCTATTGTGCGCAGGCCCTTAGGCGTAATCATACTACGGGTTGTGGGCTTCGTTACTGTTGAGGTTACAGTTGAACGTTGGAAACTAACCAATCAGAGCAGAGCAGTTCGCCGGTTAGGATGCAAGTTACAATTTAGATCCGAATCTATTTTTCAACCTTTCCATTACAACCGTAGCCAATAGGGTTGCAAGAATTGTTGTGCCACTTTCTACGTGTCGCTGCATTTCGTCGATATGATTTCCTAACCTTTATAGTCATCAACTTTAATTTATCAGTTTTTTATTGTGATTAATGCGATTCTTACTTATCGCAATGCCTCCCAAAATGGACATATGGTCTAGTGATGCCGAGCAATTACTAATAGATTTAGTGAAAGCAAGAGCAATTTTATGGGATATTATATATAGGAATTACCGTAGAAATGACCTGAAAGAAATACAATGGGAAGAGATTAGCAAAAAAATGGGTTTACTGTATTCTAGTAAGTAAAATAATTGTCCTGATTTTTTACATGTATTATTAGCTAAAATTAGTATACATATTAATTAGCTTAGATAATTGTACTTGGGATGATGACATATTAAATGATTTTTTTAATTAAGAAAATATGTACAAAATTTTTAATTTGCCTTAAACATATTTAGAACTATTATGTGTAATTGATTTATCTGTATTATGTAGAAAGTAATATGCAAAGACAAATTTTATATTTTTTTTATTTTTCTTATAGCTGAGCATGTAAAAAAACGGTGGAACAACATGAGAGGCACATTTCTTGATAATAACAGAAAAGTACGAGAATCAAAGAGAAGTGGTAGCGGCGTTGAAGAAATTTTTAAGCCAAGATGGCCTCTTTATACAAAGCTTCTATTTTTACAAAAAACAATCTCTAGTGCACAAAGTACATCTAATTTGTCACCATATGTGTCTACAGCACAAAATTTATCATCTTAATGTGAACCTTGTAATGAAAAAGAATGGCAAGATTCCAGCGATAGTGTTCAGAATTTAGAAGTTCCAGAAATTCCATGTGATAATCAAGAAAAAGAAATACAAATTAGTTTTGATGCAACCTTTCCAAAGGTATTATATTATACATAATTTATAAGTTAGTTATAAGTTATAATTTATTACGTATTTAATATGAAACAGCTAAATTGATTTTTTGTTTTTGAACATTTTAGATAGTAACAATTCCTCAAGATAGCGACATGAATTCCGATCCTTTGGAGAACTATTCTGAATCGGAAGTTATTATAAGTAACAGTAGGTCATCATATTCAACTATTTGTCCATCAACTTATCAATTCCCATCATCTTGTTCAATTTCAACGCCTAAGAATTTGACTGTCCCTATCGTGAGTGGAAAAAAATCCACAGAAAATGAAAACACTTCATGCGAAACACTTTATACCAAAAGAAGGGCATCCAAGAAACAAAAAACTGGATCATCAAGTATGGAAGAAGCTATTGAAGCAGTCAAACAGATAGCCTCACGACCAATAATTTTACCTCAGTCTATTACCCAATTTGAGCCTACTCAAGATAGTATTAATCATTTTACAGCTTACTTAGGAGCTAAATTAAGGGAAATGTCTCCTCTAGAACAGATATATGCAAAAAAAGATATTTCAGCTTCTAAAAGCTGAAATAATAAAAGTACTGTTTGCTGCCAATTTACACAATGAAAATAAAACATCTTTTACCTTTTTTTAAATCTAATCTACTTATTAAAAATTACATAAATATTATGTTCTCTCTCGTTACATATTACATGTTATATATATTACAATACATACGTTACATCTATTTTAAAATTAACCACTTTATTTGTTATTTGAAAAGTCTGATTACAACATAAATAAGAGAAAGTCAAATATTAACGTTTGCTATTAATGTTGTTATTATATTATAATTTTATACGATGTAAAGATTTATTTTTAGCTACATTGTAAGAAACTGTGATACAGTTAAGATAATTCGAAGTATGTAATATGAAATAATCAAATAAGAGAATTTTTTGTTTTTTACTCTTTAGTCGTATAATGCATATTTTGATTATGTATAAGCTGGGATTTAGTTGCACATTTCGGCCGATTTTCAGTTTGGTTCCTGCCCCTCACACCAACCCGCGCTCAGCCTAAATGCCGATCAGCATTTATGCTGCGTGCGGGTTGGTGAAGTGAAGGGCAGGAACCAAGCTGAAAATCGGTCGAAATGTGTAACTAAATCCCTGCTCTTATGTATATTAAAGATTTAACTGATAGGATAATCAAATATTTATGTTTCTAATAACATTTTATCGCAATAATAAAGTATTGTTTAGCGTGTATATTTTTATAATTATTGCTTAGTGCACATAAAAAATATATTTTTTTTTATTCTGCATGAGGATAAGAAAAAATGACATATGCAAAAATCATTTTATTTTTCTAATTTTATAATATTGTGTACAATTTCTATAAGTTGCTAGTCTGTGAACTTTATGTGATAAAAGAGATTTACATATGAGTTGATAAAAATTGTTAATAAAAATAACGTAAACAAATTATTTCTCCTTATTATAGCTCTTATTTCTTTTTTTTTGTTTTAGATTGAATGAATTTCTTTTTTTATTGTTAAATTATTATGCTTGTTTTATATTATTTGTACAATGCGTTACTGCCAAGTACTGCCCGCTCTTGCCACGGCACAGCTCCAGGTCCATTAAAATATATTGTCCAATTGTCTCGAAGTAAGCGAGCATCAATTGCATGGCGGTTTCCACCTTGATGGCACAATTGTGCTAAGCCATTAACTGGTTCCTGTCTCCAATCACCAAGTCTTATGTTACCGGTTAATATGTCTTCTTCGTCGAGAAAATTTGGTGGAGTATACATGGAACAATTTACAGATTGACTACGCAACATATTATGGAGACAACAGCAAGTCATTGTGATACGAATTGCGTCATCAGGATCGTATCTCATAGCTGACCGAAAAATTTGAAACCTTGCACCCAGCATACTAAATCCATTCTCTGAACAGCATCTGGCACGTGATAGTCTATAAAAATAATGTAGCAAATAATTTCTTTGATTAAAAAATAATAAATATTAATAGGGCTACGAGCCTAAATTTTGATCGTTGTAAGCTTAAAATTTCAAATAAATATTACATGTAGTTATAATATATTATTTAATATTGCCGGCAAAGAAAACAAAGTAACAAAAACATAAACAAAAAAAAGATTTAGGCTCGTAGCCCTATTAATATTTATTATTTTTTAATTTTATTGACCCTTATTAACATTATATTCTTTGATTAACATTAATATCCATGATTTGTCAATTTTCATGCAATTCAATAATTTAAATTCGAAAATTATATGATACAGATGTAGATCATACCGATAATTAAAAATTCTTCTGTCTAACCGATTGCGACATTGATCTTTTGGATATGGAATAAGTAATTTCGTTGTGAGAGGAAAAATTTCATCACCAACCAACACATATGGAAAATTGGTGTCACATCCTGATAGCGGACATGGTTGAGGCAAAGAAAGATTATTGCTATTTAAGTGAAATTTAAGGCTGGATTTGTTCTATATATAAGAATCATTCTCCCATTAGTGCCTATATCAATATATATAAATCTTAAATATGCATCAAAGACAGCTAACAGTGCGATGCTGTAAAAATCTTTATAATTATAATAGACTGATCCGGATTTAAAAGGAGCATCTATTCGGACATGTTTTCCATCCATTGCACCGATGCAATGATGAAAATTCCATCTCTGTCCAAAGTCATTAGCAACAACAGCCCATTCTTCTGCAGATGTTGGCATTCGAAGAAACTCATCTTTCAAAGTAGTAATCAAAGCTGTACATACTTTTTTTATTATTGTCGATATCGTGCTTTGACCTATTCTAAATTGTAAGCTAAGTGATTCTTGTGATTCTCCTGTAAATTGGAGAATCACAAGAATCACTTAGCTTACAATTTAGAATAGGTCAAAGCACGATATCGACAATAATAAAAGAAGTATGTACAGCTTTGATTACTACTTTGAAAGATGAGTTTCTTCGAATGCCAACATCTGCAGAAGAATGGGCTGTTGTTGCTAATGACTTTGGACAGAGATGGAATTTTCATCATTGCATCGGCGCAATGGATGGAAAACATGTCCGAATAGATGCTCTTTTAAATCCGGATCAGCCTATTATAATTATAAAGATTTTTTATTATTGCACTTGTATAAATCATACCAGTAGCCAGATGACGCAAGGTAACAGAAAGCCTCTCAGCAGAAGATATACTTTTTCTCAAATGTGTTGTCTTTTTTTGAACAAAGGGTGTAATTTTATCAACAAGTTTTTCAAAGGTATCAGTGTCCATGCGTAGGCATCTATAAATATAATATAAAGTATTGTTGTTGTAAAATTAAACTCATTGTATTTACTCTTTTAGTTAATTAATCAATAAAAACTGTATCTTACCTTCGAAATCGGTATACATATTATGGAGACAACAGCAAGTCATTGTGATACGAATTGCGTCATCAGGATCGTATCTCATAGCTGACCGAAAAATTTGAAACCTTGCACCCAGCATACTAAATCCATTCTCTGAACAGCATCTGGCACGTGATAGTCTATAAAAATAATGTAGCAAATAATTTCTTTGATTAAAAAATAATAAATATTAATAGGGCTACGAGCCTAAATTTTGATCGTTGTAAGCTTAAAATTTCAAATAAATATTACATGTAGTTATAATATATTATTTAATATTGCCGGCAAAGAAAACAAAGTAACAAAAACATAAACAAAAAAAAGATTTAGGCTCGTAGCCCTATTAATATTTATTATTTTTTAATTTTATTGACCCTTATTAACATTATATTCTTTGATTAACATTAATATCCATGATTTGTCAATTTTCATGCAATTCAATAATTTAAATTCGAAAATTATATGATACAGATGTAGATCATACCGATAATTAAAAATTCTTCTGTCTAACCGATTGCGACATTGATCTTTTGGATATGGAATAAGTAATTTCGTTGTGAGAGGAAAAATTTCATCACCAACCAACACATATGGAAAATTGGTGTCACATCCTGATAGCGGACATGGTTGAGGCAAAGAAAGATTATTGCTATTTAAGTGAAATTTAAGGCTGGATTTGTTCTATATATAAGAATCATTCTCCCATTAGTGCCTATATCAATATATATAAATCTTAAATATGCATCAAAGACAGCTAACAGTGCGATGCTGTAAAAATCTTTATAATTATAATAGACTGATCCGGATTTAAAAGGAGCATCTATTCGGACATGTTTTCCATCCATTGCACCGATGCAATGATGAAAATTCCATCTCTGTCCAAAGTCATTAGCAACAACAGCCCATTCTTCTGCAGATGTTGGCATTCGAAGAAACTCCTCTTTCAAAGTAGTAATCAAAGCTGTACATACTTCTTTTATTATTATCGATATCGTGCTTTGACCTATTCTAAATTGTAAGCTAAGTGATTCTTGTGATTCTCCTGTAAATTGGAAAATCACAAGAATCACTTAGCTTACAATTTAGAATAGGTCAAAGCACGATATCGATAATAATAAAAGAAGTATGTACAGCTTTGATTACTACTTTGAAAGAGGAGTTTCTTCGAATGCCAACATCTGCAGAAGAATGGGCTGTTGTTGCTAATGACTTTGGACAGAGATGGAATTTTCATCATTGCATCGGCGCAATGGATGGAAAACATGTCCGAATAGATGCTCTTTTAAATCCGGATCAGCCTATTATAATTATAAAGATTTTTTATTATTGCACTTGTATAAATCATACCAGTAGCCAGATGACGCAAGGTAACAGAAAGCCTCTCAGCAGAAGATATACTTTTTCTCAAATGTGTTGTCTTTTTTTGAACAAAGGGTGTAATTTTATCAACAAGTTTTTCAAAGGTATCAGTGTCCATGCGTAGGCATCTATAAATATAATATAAAGTATTGTTGTTGTAAAATTAAACTCATTGTATTTACTCTTTTAGTTAATTAATCAATAAAAACTGTATCTTACCTTCGAAATCGGTATGGATCTTCAAGTGACAATTCAAGAAATAGGTTACGATGCATACCACTATACTGCCTTCGTAAAAAATATGGCTTAGTCCAGACGTCTTAATTTACGTTTTTCCTGATTACCTACTATAAGAAGTAATAGATACGCATACTAAAGATGAGTTTCTTCGAATGCCAACATCTGCAGAAGAATGGGCTGTTGTTGCTAATGACTTTGAACAGAGATAGAATTTTCATCATTGCATCGGTGCAATGGATGGAAAACATGCCCGAATAGATGCTCCTTTTAAATCCAGATCAGCTTACAATTATTTCAATAATTGTTGACATTCTTATAGGTTAGTATAGAAAGGCAGAAGACAATGAAAGTCAAACAATCACGTCGGTATATCCAATCTGTAGTGTGATTGAACAATCCACAACTGTTAACCGTAATGCCAACCGCAACGAAGCCCACAACCCGTAGTGTGATTACGGAAGATATCTGCGACAATTGTGGTCACTTTGGACGTTCAGTTCTTGTTTGACTTGTTTGATCATTTGTGTCGTCATTTTGTAAAAATGGAAAAAA